GGAAGGATGATGAGGATGGCCAATAGGAAGGATGATGAGGATGGCCAATAGGAAGGATGATGAGGATGGCCAATAGGAAGGATGATGAGGATGGCACCGGGCGGGGCGGTGTCCTGTTGTCTGTAGGGTCGCTCTGGGTCAGAGCTGACAGGATGGCACCCAACAGCAACAAGAACAATTCAGTCTGTGAAGGTCGACCCTGTTCCTTCCCTTTCCCATGTGATGTACCAGTTACCATGGAATCCATTGAGACTCGTGGTGACCGTGTGTGCCAGACTGGAACATTGCTCCATAAGCTTGTCAATGACTGGCTTTTCAGAAGTACATCACCTGGCCTTTCTTCCAAGACACCCTTGGGTGGAGTGGAACCTCCAACCTTTTGGGTAGCAGACAAGAGCATTAGCCACTTGTATCTCTAAGGACTCCCCCCCACCCCACTATATGGGTATACACACCTGTCACCACTGACCCTACTTCATCTCACAGGGACCCTGTCGGACGGAACAGAATTGCCCCAGAGTTTTTTCCACACTGTCCTCTTACATTAGCACAATGCTACATCGCTGTCCTGAGGAGGGGCTGGTGGGCTTGAACCACTGGGCCACCTGGGCTCCTTCCACATCATATCAAGCCAACAGCCAAGCCCATGGCTGTTGGAGTCCATTCCAACACATATCAAGCCAACCTACGGTTTCCGAGGCTGAAAATCTTTACGGGAACAGAAAAGCTTACCTTTCCTCCGGGGAGCAGCCGGTGAATTTGAACTACCGACCTTGCAGTTCACAATCCAATGATGCTCTGCCTGTGCCACCACAGTGTGTCAAACATTCAATACAATATAGTGTATAATATAGTAAAGGGCTAGTTAGTAATATAAGCAGCTCCGGTAGCATAGTGGGTTATGCGTTGGTCTGCTAACCACAAGAGCAGCAGTTCAAAACCACCAGCCAGTCCAAGGGAGGAAGATGAGGCTGTCTCCTCCCAGTCTTAGAAACCCACAAGGTCATTCCCCTGTCGTCTATGGTCACTATGAGTTGGAATTGGCTTGATGGCAATGAGTTTGAGTGCTTTTTTTTTTTTCAGCCAATCATAACTGGTAGTCCTTAGGGTTTATATTTTAGATCTAAAATTAATAAAACTAGTTATTCATCCTTAGGGTTTAGTGTTGAGCCATCTACTCTCCTTCATATATCTCCCATGCTTGTGTGACTTCACCCAGGCCCATGGCTTTACAGCTCACTTTGTCATGACACTTTAATTTTGACCTTGATTCCATGACCCTGTGCCATAAGCACCCTGCTCTCCATCACGAGGAGTGGCACCTATTGGATTTCAAAGTCTTGAGTTGTTCTTTGCTACTTTTCTGAGGCTCAGTTTTCTCATCCAATTTTGTCTTCACCTCTGACTTCTCCCCTGAGCTCTAGCGACCTACCTGGCATCCCTAATCTCTCCAACTCTCAAAACTCACCACCATCTAGACCAGAGCATGAACACGGG